CTACTTCCTGTGTTTTGTACATAGTGTGAAACTTCAGCACACGTGAAAAAAACTACCTTTCAGTGTATTAGTCTAAAGGTAATATAATAAAAGTTTGTACTAAGTTTCGTCTCAAGCCCATCTTTATATTTTTCATGTAGAGGCACATGTCTTAGTGAACCCTTTAAATGATAATAACTAATATTGTAATAATAAATCTGTATTGTTAAATAATAACAATAGTTCATATTAACATAATTTATTAGATAGTTTAGGTAGGTTCTTAGACGCAATGTATAAAAACGCCGGATCATATCTCATCATATTATTATTATGACCATACAAGTGCTTACAAATTGATTCTTAGACATAACTGTTTGTTAAAATAATCATGAAATGCGATTGATATATGTTTGTTTCAAGTATGTACCTATTTACAAAACATATCAGTGGTTCTAATAATTACAATCACGGTGTTACATGTTTAGGTGTAATGCCTTTAACACCTCAGTCCAGAAAACCGTCGATTTTTAACACACCCAACATAAAAATACAGTATATACTTTTGATATGATTCGCATTTCCTTTAATCCCATTATTTTAAACCATCAACGAAGCCGAGTAGTGTAACAAACTATTTCATATGAATGAATGATTTATTCCGTTAAATTTGCTACATATTATAAATGTTTACAACTTTTTACTATAACTATTAAGATATATAATCAAGAAAACAGAAAGAAAAATTTAACAAAGCTTTGACCTTAATGTTAACTATTTACTAGCAAGGGAGGCTAAATATCATTGACATTCTTGAGTGGTATTGTAAATTAATATCCGTCAGTATTTATTCTGTACGACTACTCATATAAATTTCAATATTGACAGTTTTACAGTATTAAGTTTTTCGTGTTTTGTTTTCTGTTCGTGTTATATGTGTTCTCAATGTCAATGACGCATCTAGCCAAATCGGATAGTTAACCTTATTGATGTCTTTGTTATACCTGACGATGGACTTATCCTACAGTCCGAAACTATAGTAGTGTACTACTAAAATAAGGATCACTTGACGAAGCCAGGATTTTATCTATGTGATAATGTCGCGATTATCTAGGACTAGTATGAAGTAATGTGTAAAACAGTCGTAGAATATAGCGTCCTATGATGTGAAGGTGAAACATAAAAAAGGTAACAAATATATCGATATAGTTTGTACCGATTTTATAACCAATTAACTATAATTAACATTAAAGCTCCCATATTTAACAAATATACTTCTACTATACTTATCATTCTTGATGCGTGAAAAATCACACCTAATTAAAACCAAATCGTCTCTATGTGTTTAAAGGTTGTTTTTAAATAATTACGAGGTTTCTCGTTTCATTTACCACTCACCTGACCACCTCTCTACATTTGCCCGCCTGGTCTCTCTTAGCACCTCCATCACATCCTCTGGCAGGTGCTTCCACCACAACTCTCCTGTCCTCATCATCTACCGGTACATGAGGCTTCTTGGTAGTAGAGGATTCTAGACCTGTAGTAGGCCTATCTGTGGAATACTCGTCAACGGAAACTTCTGGTGTTCCACTTCCCCCGGTCGGATTGTTATTTTCCTTATCATGTTTTAACACCCCTGTTATAGCACTCCCTACCTGAACTGCATGACTGAAGGTGTTGTACGGTTCAAATACATCTGGTGATTTAGGCTGAACTGTTGTTGAACCAGGAAAGAGTCCGAACCCGATTAGTCCTGAGTCACCACTTTTTAAGACGAATAGGAAGAATAACACACTATGTTTGGACCACATGATCTTCACGAAGCGACTCGCAACACAGGTTGCTTCTGGTAGAGAAGGAGAGCAGGTGTTATTAATGTTCAGGATCAGGATGAGCAACTTCAAAACAACGGTACCAATGGACTACTTCAGTGGGGAAATCAGGCGGAACCAGTTTTATGTTCTGATCGTGATACCACAGAACGTTTCGTTTTAAGTGTGCATTAAGGTGACACAGTACTCCCTATCCCGCCCATGTTAAAATGCCAGTTTTTAGGTACACATAACTTTAACAAATATTAACCTATCAATTTGAAATTTTTGTACCAAGTTTAATACATTATTACCAACAATAATATGAAGCAAAAAAAGGTTTTGAGCAAAATTAAACTGTAAGTATGATTTTAAAAATGTTATAAAATATTTTAATTTTTTAACATAAAATATTTTTTTATTTAAAAGGTTTTTGGTTGTCATGGAAACTGATTCGTATTATTGTTCCTTATCATATGAGGAACACACACACCAATTTTTATTGAAATTGGATTATAAGTGAGGAAGAAAAGTGTACCTGACTAAAAACCACTTGACTTTCGGAAAACGACAAAAGTACCCCCTGTCACAGGTAGTAGTAGGACCCTTGGGCATGCTAAAGTAAGAGTGTATAAAAGTCGCTGTACAGCTTAAAATAATTTTTTTCTTCCATAATATTTGGTATGTACGTGTTCAGGAAAGTGTGTTCTACAAAACTAAATAATAAAAAATGTTTAACAAATTTTAATATTCGACGGCGTACTTTCTGCGTCTTGATTAGTAGTAGGACCTTGGACATGCTAAATTAGGCTGCAATAGTTTATAGAAGTAGCAGAAAATTTTTAAAATAATTTTTTCTTCCTTAATTTTTATTATCTACGTGTTCAGAAAAGTCTGTTCTACAAAAATAAATAATAAAAAAAATTAAAAAAATATATATTTGAGTACTGTGTTACCTTAATAACGGTTTTGTAAAAAGATATTGGAATCGATAGGTAATCGATATTTTAAGCGAAATTTAACCAAGCTATAGTATTTCTCAGTAAATTTAAAATCGCTGTCATTGGAATAGGTAAATAAATTGAATAACGGCAACTCCAGCCACACTTTTCGACCTATGCTTTTTGGCGTTAACATTACAATATATGCTGTATTTTTGTGTTAAGCATGTTTAAAATATACATGCTACACCTCAATAGATCTCTTTTGAATACACTTAGTAGTAGAAATAGTAGAATGGTGGTTCCATGTTTGGTGGTCGAATTCAACTATGTTTTAGTTACAAAGAGAGCGAGACAGTCATATTCCTTACCTACAAGAGGTTTAATGAAGGAGACTTTATCAACACTTTGTCTCCCACATAACTGTACAGAGAGAAATCACAAGTAATCAACCTGAGTCAACAGAGGACATCGCAGCTTTGTGTCAGCTACACGGCAGATCCAACATGCAGCCCATTCATCCCATTCTCTTCCAACATTCAATTTTGCATGATTTTCACCAAGATATTCCCTTACCTACATTGCTGTGTTAATAGCTTGTATGAGATAACATGTTTAGCTCGTTCTGCATACCTTAACCGTCTCTTGTGAAATCTAAAGCTCAAATCCCATTTCCTAGTCCAACTTCTTCTAAGTACAACAGTTACACTTGACTTGAGTATACCACCAGTGACCATAGAATGTATGGTAGCTGGTTACCACAGACCTTTCAGTGTCATTTCTTTAATTCAAATAACCTATAGTGCGGAACTTCCTATCACAAACGTAGACGAGCCTCTTATTAGTAGGGTCTTTGTAAAAACGCGTACTATATTAACGTTGAACAACAATAACTGACTAACTGTTTTCTAACTCAATCGAACAACAATATTTCTCTAAAATTGAAAGAGCTATTTCCATCATAAATGTTCAACTTTGCCCCTTAACACTTGGTTTAAATTGGGCGTGAACTTCAGCGGTTTTAAATAAACCTTAAGGCATTTTACTACCCAACAATATCAGCTACGCCGACATAAGGTATGTAACTAGTAGTTTATATGTTTATAAAGTAGTTTCTTTATTTTACTATCACGCTGTACATTTGCTCATACGTACTGTAATTCATAGGGAAGATATATTTCTAAATGACACAACTGCTATTCGTAATTTACGTAATGATATCCATAAGAATGCTTTATGAGCTGTCGACTTTTCGTTTGTTGAACTGACCACGACGTAGAAACACAGTTAGTGTCCTTAGATTTAAAGTTTACATTACAACGGACACTGTTTAAAAAAAGACCACATCAAAATGTAATGTTACAAAAACAAGCTTAACTCAAATATATACGAACTGATTATTTACAAATAGTCTTATTTATACCAACTAGTTTCAATCAATACCACTGGCAAACCAAAATTAATCTAGTTTATCTAGGCCTATATGGCCCGGTTTCCCCAAAATGGTGTAAACTACGTTTATAATAAATTAGTTTATTTTTAAACTCCGTTTAAAATGTGTGTTCGGTTACCCCAACATTTTACTGGCTTCGTTTAAGATAAACGGCAATTCGAGCGGTTGGCAATCCTGAATGTGTATTTGTAAGGAATCTTCGGTGGGCTTTGGGCTAGTGCTTCCTACAACCACCACAACGCAACGCTACATCTCAGTAGAGCAGACAGCAAAGTGTGAATGCAGCTAAAATAACATCACTGTTATCAAGTTATTATAAGTTGTTGTCAAATTCAGATTCATTCCATTTATTGAAATGGTCAATTCTGTCCCTTATTTTAGTAGGCCCTCTCTAAGCTAACCCTAAACCAAGCCTATTTTCGTCCAAATGAATTTGTAGTTGCTTCAATTATTATTGTTTTAACACCTACTTTTTGTTTTGATTTGAGGTTATGTTACTGTTGTAACTTACTAATTTGAACTCAGTTTATTTTATCCCCAGTAGTTAAACCAAGTCGAGAGGTGGTTTAGTTTGAACTTAGATTAATGCCTAGTTTAAATTTGGGGAAACACAAATCAAAGTTAAACTAAGTTTAAATCGCCGTTTAACTTAAAACTAAGTTCAAATGAGTTGGGGAAACCGGGCCTTAGTGTTTTAATGTTATTTGTGTGGTAAGCCTTGTTCCTACTAAAACCCTTACTAATCTTAAACCAAAAACAAACTTTGACCACAGAAAAACAGTCGATAACGTCAGGGTTATCAGAAGCATTGTTGTACATAAACACACAATCAACAAAGTTAGAAGTCATAGCCATGCTAGTGGGACTGGTGGTTTTACTGGTAGTCTACAGTGTGACTGGGAATATATGCCAGAGAGGGTTTCAAGGCCCCCCAGGTTTACCCGGGATACCTGGGAGGCCGGGAGAGAAAGGTGACAAGGGAGATCCAGGTCTTCCAGGTCTACCGTCGGAAGTGAAACCAAATCCAGAATTAGCTGAGAAGGGAGAGCCCGGCCCCCCAGGACTACCAGCCTACAGGGAAGCGGCGAGAGCGAAAAGGTCCTTGGGGCAGCATCATCAAGATAATGTTCAAGGTATGATTGTAATCTACAAATTTTAACAAGTTGTACAAGTTACAAGTTAACAAGTTAACAAGTTGTGGAAGTTAGTATTAGAAAGTTTATGTGTAGCAAAAGTTTTGTGAAAATTAAAATATAATATATTAGTGTAAATCTTTCTCTGCAGTAAACCATAAAATGACGAGAGGGAATGGTTCACTAAATAAAAATGTAATTTTTTTATTAGATGAGGTTTATGTTTTATGATTATTTCCTCGTATGATTTTTTTTCCTTTGCATGTTTTCCTTTTACATGTTTCCTTTACGAGTTAAAGTTACAAGACTAGCATAGTTTGGACTATTTTGCATGCCTGTGTATTAGGCCTTAAAATTTAGATATTTTCCAAATGCAAGGAAAAATGTACTTTTTACAAATTTAAGAGATTTAATGTTCAAATTTAATGTTTACAAAGTACACTTTTACAACCATTGTTTTCCATTACCACTACAATCTTCAAAGATTTTTATTTAGAGGCAGACACTTCAGTACTTATACTTTCTTTTATCGTAGACTTTGGATGCTAGAACCACGAGGGGTCTAGGAATCTAAAGTCTTATAGATCTATGTTTCATGCTCAGTTATCCTACTTTTGAGAGCACTGAGTGGTTGGTGTGCATCTATCTCTACACTAGATTTAAACAAAAAATGTCTCCTCTGCGTCCTCTCGTTGCAAAGCATGGCTAATTATGATATCATTGAGTTTGAAAAGATTAATTTTGAATGTGGTTTTGTGGGAAGAATGACGGAGGAGTTATTACTCTATGTTATTAAAGTGTGTGATTATTCTCTTATTTACTAAACCCATAGAATAAAATATTTATTCTATTGTAAAAAAGATTATTCTCCTTCTATCACTTTTCAGCCCTGGCATTGTGACCCTATCGCGATGCCGCAAGTTTATCTAACAGCAATATGTATATTGATTTGATTGTGTAGTCTGTTATAATATAGTTTTGAGTCTAGGGTTAGTCTTTCATTGAATTCAGATCTACCATTAATTCAGTATATTTGCTTGCTTAGTTTTTGTTTGAAAAAATGTAATATATTCCCTTTGGCATGCAATTGTAGGTTATGCGGGAATCGGCCGTTGGTACACCAGGATGCTAACTAATTGATAAGTCAATTTGTATACTGCATGGTATGGACACATATCGTAAGCGAATCTGACGTTTGTGTGTCCATTTGTATATCAAAACATACAACAAACACGCTGCCGTTTATCGTTTTGGATTTTTTATTATTCTTTGTGTTACTGTACGATGTATTTTTACACTATTTTATTTAGGGTGTCTTTTAAATTGTTTTAAGGAAACTGTCCGAAACCTAATATTGTCACTACGGTATTCAATGTCAACCTGTTATTGGAAAGCAAAATCAGTTGATAATTCAATGGCAAAACTGGCACCTGGGTCCATGACTTTGCTTGGAAACCTCTAGGCACTATAACCACATTACTACCCTGATTATTTATTATGTTATCATACAAAATAAAACCTATTATAATTTTCCCCTATCTTATTAGTAATTCTTGGCACATTTGTATGAATTTAGAAGTTCGTATAGTTGGATTATTAACTATGGTTTCTTTCAAAATAATAATTAAGGTTTTTTAATGGTGCCAGGTCCCAAGTCCAGAACAGTTCGTGGCGTGTCTCAGGGACTCCCAGGAGAACCGGGATATCCAGGAATGATCGGAATGCCTGGAATGCCTGGACGACCGGGAGAAAGGGGGGATCCAGGACTCCCCGCACCACCACTTGTAGTTAAGGGTCAAAAGGGGGAGAAAGGTCCCAAAGGGGAATGTTTAGAAGGACCTCCACCAAAGGTAATACTTCAGTCAACTTATGATATTTTTGTTGTTGTTCTTAAAATAAGAAAAATGGTCGGCATTTTATACATAAATAAGATCATACGACGGAAAATGTCGTTTTTTAAGTTTTATGTTTATTCATTGTATTACAATAACGCGTGATCGATTATACAAGACGATTAAGTTGGAATACAAACTACTAACCAATTGTAATTAATATTTAACATAAAATATATTGTATGATTGGCTTTGAGGATTGTTTATAAAAGCGTATTTTGCTATACATCATTATTGTGATTAATGCTAGATTATCCAAAAAAGATTAATACTTTTAGCTTTTCAATTTTTACTTGTAACAAGAGTAGTGTTAATCTTTTATCCTCGCCTTTTGATCCCCGCCAAGTCACCAAAGGATTTTATCTAAGTGATAATGCCGCAACCCCTAGGTCTAGCCTGAAGTAATGTGAAAAACAATCCCAGGCTCGTGCCTAGAGTCCTAGGACAAAAAAAAAATCTTTTATCCTAAAAACAGTAACCTCAAATACACGATTTTTTTATCCGTTCATTTTATAGGTATGAGTAAATCTTTGCGTTTATTTATTTTATCACTACCACAGACATACATGGAACATTTTTAAAGGACACTTTATGCATCATAAAATGTTTGGTTAAGATGAATCTTAAGTTGGGTACCGATCTTAATCGAATTAAATCTATCAATTATTAACGTTAGGCTACATTTTTATTAAAATATCAATTTCTTTTATATTTTTAAACATAATTGCTGGGTAACATTCAGCTGAAAGTATAAATGCCTGCAATATTATCATTTTACATTTTGACACAAACAATAAAGCTGGTAGAATACATTAACTTACTAATATTATAAATGTGAAAGTGTGTGTGTTTGTTTGTTTGTTTGAAGTTCAATCAAGCAATAACTACTGGACGCATTTGGCTGAAATTTGGCATGATAATAGCTAACATTCCCGACTAACATATCTATTCTTATCTCAAAATTCCTTTCGGACTCCGCCCCAGATTAAAAAAGAATTACTTATGGGTTGTAAGATATTTAGCCATAAAAAAACTGTCGCCATTTTTAAATGGTACAACGTAGAAACTTGATACTTAATACTACTCACTTGATACTACTTGAAACTTGATACTACTCAATTCAGTAACGCATCTTGTTATTCCACGTACACATACCAAGTTTAAAGTAATACCTCAGGAGGTTCGGAAGATTTGATTAATTACGTAAAAAACAAAAACAGACCCACGGACAGAAAACTTTTGGACGTATTATGTTTGTGTTAAATTTTTGTTCTTATTTTTACCTCTACAATCATTTAATACATATTTTACCACAATTTCCGGACACCGTGTATATATTTCAGTATTGTAATACAAATCTTTGTTGTTTCAGCCTGTATCTGTGCCTGTGAATAGACCCAAAAGAGGTAAATATTAGATCCATTAGGCAATATTAATACAGTACATGTTAAGGCCCAATTCACACCGAACGGACGTCGGGCGGAGACGTGGCACGGACGAGGCACAGACGTGGCAGTGACGTGGCGTGTTCAATGCACACCGAAGGGACGGTGAAGGGACGGTACAGTGGCGAGACAACCTGTATGTAGACTAGACGCTTTGGTTTTTGCGTATTTCTATTAATGTCAATGGTGTTAGTTAATTTCTGTCAACTTAATTAGTACAAACAAGGGAATTGTTCTACTTCCTCACAACATTTGATATTAAATTCAATGTCGTCTCACATATTGAAGAAACAACTCACAATCTACACACAAAAACAACTCTACACAACAAGGTTGGTAAGTACAAGCACACTATACACAAGAAGTTTGGTAAGTATAGTACAATATTTGCAGTCCGAACAACGGGCGCGCTACGGACATGCCACTTCCGATACGCCACGAGGGACGCCGAAGCGACGTGGCGGTGGCGGGAGGGCGGCCGCCCGCGCCACGTCACTTGTGTGTGCATTGACCAATTTGTTTACATGGGGAGGCGAGGAACGGACATATGTCCTCGCCACGTCCGTGCCACGTCTCCGCCCGACGTCCGTTCGGTGTGAATTGGGCCTTAAATGGTCGGAATAGTCTAGTTTTCATCCGAATACTTTTTAAGGACGTTCTAACGGTTGGAGATTTTGGTGAGCAAGCTGGTTTGATAGTAGGGCCCAAGGTCGTGAGCTCATATCCCCTCATTCACCAACAACGGATTTCATCAAAGCGATAATGCCACAACTTTAGGTCGTAACGTTAGACTTATGTAAAAACTTAGCCTAGTTTGTTCAAAATACTTTGAAATTAATAAATAAATTCGTTTAACACTTATTAATTAATAAAAATGCTTTGTCGTCATATTGCAGCAAAAACAGCCGTTTTTGATTCATGTGTTGCAGGTTTAAAGTGGCATTTTTAATAATTATTAAAAACTATATTCGTATATTCTTTTCCTACAGTTACCTAACAAGGTACATGTTCTCTCACTGATTTAAAAAGCAAAGTGGCCAATCCGCTCATTAGTGAGACAATGTTAAAATTGTCTCACTCTAATTACTTTGTCTCACTCACTCCAGATTTGCAACGTGAAGGCACGAAATAGTGAGCGCGTAACATGCAGCCAAGGTTGTATGCGCGTGAAATACGTTGGCAGCACTGGCTGTAAATCAGCTGGTCAGCTGTTGTACTGTTGTATCATTAAATGTAATATTAAAAGTTCACTTCTGTGTAAAAATATGTCACGTTTCTTAAACAATTTATTTGTCTTACTAGCTGTGTGCCCGTTCTACGCACGGGGATCTTATAGTAGTCAGTTGAAACCTTCTTAGATTAAGATTAAGAGCAGCAATTAGTTTGCATATTTGCAGATATGCTGGCAAAACTATTATATATAAACCTTCGCAAATACAGTATCTGACAGTTCCATTCCTTACTCGCCTACGGCTCGTGAGTAGGTATTTCTTGCTCCCTTTGCTCACTAGTTGCACAAATAACTATATTTTTAGTCACTTTCTCAAGGTTGGATTTTGTCGGATTATGTATATATTGTAAAGCAAACTGAGTCGAATACCACTTCAATCGCTTGTAAAGCAATTTTGAACCAGTCAATGATAATTTTACGAGACTCTACCTGAATACAGTACAAAGGAAAACGTTTGGCAAAGACAATTGAACAATGAATACACAGAATGTATCATAGGACTTTTTGGAAACTACCACAACTGATCAAATAGTATAGTTATTTGTGTAACTAGTGTGCAAAGTGCCACTATGCTGCACATGAGAGAAATGTATACGCACGAGCCACAGGCGAGTGTCGAAAGCTTCTTGAGTGCAGCAAAGGCCATTTGCGCTCGTGTCTCTCGTGTTAATCGTAGAATTAACAAATCATTCAAATACTAAGAACACGTTTTTAGATTAGGTTATATCCAAGCGTTGAATGAAATGGGAACTACTGCACCAGCTGATCGTAGTCGTAGTAGTGTGTTGCCAACTTATTTACAAGCGTACACGTATTACGCGCCTAATAAAAGCACACTGTTTTCTGTTGTTTGGTCCCAACTTCTATTAATCTTAATCCCTCCTGAAATCAGTTAAAAGATAAGAGAATGCAGGCAATTTTCATGGATACGTATATTTAGGAAGAAACCGGCTTCAGAATGGTCAACCGTGCTTCCATATATGGTCATCAAAAACCATATATGGCTTTATAAAAACATATATAGAATTTTGATGTGATAAGGGGTACCAGAGGCTTAATGTTTATACTATCTACCAGTCAACTAAGATCTAACTAAATAGGGAAAAGTCTTTGCTCATCCAAAACCCGGTGTTAACAATATTTGTAAAACTATACAAATATCAAAATAACAATCTTAAATGTTCATATTACCCCAGTGTTGCTGAAAGTTAAATCTCTGTAGTCAAAAGTATTTACACAGATGCTTTTTACTACGTTGTTTTATTTTCAGATATAAACTTCTGTATACCTGGATTGCCAGGACCTGCAGGATTACCAGGATTTCCTGGACTTCACAGAGTTAAAGGAGAAAAAGGAGAAAGAGGATTTGATGGATCCCCTGGACATGTTACCTACATCAAGGGAGAGCCGGGCGACCCTGGAGAGCCGGGTACTTGTGACGCACGATGAGATTATCAATGTACTTTCTCTCACTCGAATATTATAAACTTGAATTTTTACTAGTTTGCTTTTCCCTGTAGATGACCCCGGATCATCCTTGTCTCTAACAAGTGGTAATAGACATATTGAACACATTACAACAGGCACTTAAAACTAATGAAATGTGTTAATTGAACTCAACTTGATTTGCGATTGAATAGTATGCCACGACTGTGTATTGATGAAGTAATATCACATTTTTGTTTATTACAAATGGCTATTTCATAAGGGGAAATATTACAAATTTATTATTTATCGGGATTTTCAAAGCAGTTTTTTCTTATTTAACACAAGCTTTTATGTAAAATAAAATAAAATGATAAAAAAGTAGAAAAAAACTAAAATTAAAGTATTTTCACATGAACCATTTTAGTGGGCAGAAAAGCTCTAATTTTGTATATAATGAACAGTCAGTCAGATATAAAAACTATCGCTAAAATACTAATGTTAGAAGTGTCAAATCGAGCTACGTTTATAACGTATATAGCTTTAAAGGCCCCGGGTACGATACGAGCAGCGAGCGACAAGCGGTAAGCGGCGCCGCTCTGACATCGGGTCTTATTTAGTTGCGTGTAAATTTGTTGACAGTGGTCACGATACGTCTGAGCGGCGAGCGGCGTTAAGCGGCACCGCTCAGCGCCGCTCATGGTTCAAAGTCAAAACCGATTTTCGCGAAAACGCCGCTCTCCGCTCAGGTGAGTCATGCTTCAGTTCGGCTAAAATGGCAGGGAAACAGCAGCAAACACGCGATACGGGTCGATACTTGAGGTGCAATCCAGGGAATGGTTGTGGAATGATCAGCACGGAAGTTTTAAAACACTTCAGTCGCCAGAAAAGTATGGGACAAAGTTAGGGTTAAGGTTTTTCTAAAAACTAAGTTTTTCTTTAAATGCAAACAATTGTCAGATAGCAACAATAGTTGCAATATGTCTTGCAGGTAAGCAGAGGTTACCATTTTCGACTAATCTGACTAATAAAACTGGGGAAATTTGATGAGCGTTATAAATGTGCCGCTTGTATCGAAACCACCACCGCCGCTTACGTGCCGCTCAGGTTACCGCTCGCCGCTCGTATCGTACCCAAGGCCTAAAAATGTAAGTTCCTTCTAATTCAATTTAGTCATTTTTAGAGATATACTCAGAAATTTAGCATAATTACATAAAAATTTAGCAGATAAGCTGTTAAAATTTAAAAAAAAAACTGAAAAAAAATGCTTGTACGAGTATATCGTATAGTTTCCAAATAAACATAAGATTATACGCTTGAGTTAAATAATAATACAATAATGTTATTTATAATGTTTATTTATTTAAATTATTAAGTTGTTAGTACTTACATTCTTTTAGCAAGATTGTCAGTTGAAGAATGAAATCGTAGTGTAGTATTCTCAAAATAAACAGAAAGCATTCCTTTATGTGGTCTGTTTTGACATCTGACGCGACGCAGGAAGGTTGACTATAGATACACATTGACTCGTTCTAATTTGAAGTATTAGTACACATTGCATTTCCACTTTAATCTATAGCTAGTTGGTTGTATAGCATAAAGGACTTATTTGAGCTCAGCCACTGACAGTGTGAAATAATGATTAGATTTGTATATTAGCTATCATGGATTTATAAACTATCATAAAATATAATCCCCCCACAGCAAACCTGCAGACTAGGCGAATGTACATTTGAATGATTAAATGTTCATTAGAATATTTCTTTTAAAACTGCAAACTCATTCCCCATTTAAATGGCATTAGGTGTTACGGTATTAGTGAGTACATAAATTTTCTGCAGCAGGGAAGCTTATAAAGATTATTATTAATGGAATGTTACTCGCAACGTATGAAAAGAATATATTTGACAATTTGATCAAAATATAACTATAAATATACAACTGCAAAGATTGACTTATTCTCCATAAAAATAGCGTAGAAATTAAAAATTTACAATGTCGTTTTGAGTTTTTTTCATAGCCATTAAAAGTTCAACAACAATTCAATATACTAAATTATTTGTTTTTTAGGTCTACAAAGTTGTTTGGGACGAAATTATAAAAGTTTATGTTTGAGCGGCAAACATGGTGAAACCAATTTTTACCCTTTAAAGCCCTACATGAAGAGTCCTTCCTAGCTGCCATCTTGGATTATTTAAACATCTGCTGAAGAGTAATTTATTGCCCAAAAATAGTTTTTCAAACACCAGAGTAATTATAATTTATATATATAGTAAACTGTAGGTTTAGAAATGCTCTTTGAAGCTAAGCATTGTTCTCCAAGGGAATCCTTGGAATTGTACGGCCATCTTGGATTTGCCCGCCAATAGAGCAATGTTAATTTCATTAATTTCAAACAGGTGCTTAAGAGTTATGTAACATCTCAAAATATTTTTTCAAATACCGAAGTAATTTTAATTTAAATACCTAGTATACTGTGACATTATACATTTTCATTGTAGTTTTTTTCAATATTTGTACGAGTTAGAACGTCTAGGCTCGTTTAAGCTTCTTCCCCATGGTCTGATCGTGCTGGTTTGTGAACTCGTAAGAATAAAAGTAGGTTTACACGTTTATAATACTACTAAGCTAGGGGTTATGCTTTGCTACGAGGTGAGATTACAGAAGAGGTTTTTTAAATCTACCATAAGAAACTGTTACAACACATTTATTAGGGATTATCAACTAATTGAAATGGGTACGCCATCTATGTACGTATTATTCAAACCAAATGTGAGTGAAAAATGAGTGTAGAATGGTGCGAGATGATATTTTGTAGCTTTTTACTCACTTAGATCGGCCGTTTCATTAGCCAAGATCGTTTATTTAAAGCCCAGAACCATAAAAAACTAATAACTTTTCTCAGGATCGAACCGGCGACCTTTGATTTGTGAGGCGAGCACTATAACCAGCATGAAAGTTCAATCGTACTTATTGCTTATTTAAATCAAGATCTCTTATTTTAAAAGCTGACGAATAAGATGTGTTGCAGAAACAAAACTAAAACATTTTTGGTTATACCTATAAAATCTGGGAGAATAAAAAGTTTAACTAAGGGCAAATGTAAGCAAACAATATAAATTAAATCAACTGTAAAACTTGATTTTAATTTAATATTTTAAATATGATTCAATATTTTCTTCTGGGGACTTAAAAATGAAAATGTAAATTGGTCCCTGTGAGTAGTGGTCTCATGCTATACCATGCAAGCTGGTATGGTATGATGGTTGTAGCGGGTTTCTTATATGGATATCTAAAACAGAGAATAAACTTAAATTGTCGCACTTTCTCGTTTAATTTCACGCACTTCTAAATTGACGTTTTAAGAATAATTAAATGAATATATAAACTAATACTGTACCAATTTGCTTTACCTGCCAGACTAGAATCTTGCAAAATGAATGAGATGAAATAAAATAACACAATTTAAAAAATACTAGTTTTTATTATTTAAATAGATACTATACATATAGCTAAAAAAACTAATTTGTCTATAACTCCTGTACAGTTAAATATAATAATTCCGTCAGTTTTTAAATAAATAAAACTCTATCTAACATATTTTATTTGTACAAACAAATCACAGCTTATTTCGATTATCACATATATTTACTATTTTTTTTCAAAGTTCATGTTAGAATACTATAAATGAGTATTATCGTTGTCCAACGTTTAGAAGTTGCATCTTTCAAGCAGCCTCTTTTCCTGCAACAAATAATAAATGTTGAGGTAACTATTGTAAAACAAACATGTTAACACTTATAAGTATCGCGTACCTTAAAACTATGTTTCATTTTTACTACTTATATCACAATTTTCATTAAAACTGGGAAATATTTTGATCATCGTGCTATTGTAGAATGGAACACCGTTGTAATGTACAACGACATTACAAAAAAAGCGGCAAAGCGATATTGATACAAATGTAATGAATACTATAACCAGTTTATGTTTGATATTGACCTGTTATTCTGTAATTGTACTGAGAGACGAACGGTAGTAAAAACATTTTTATTTATTTATTTATAACCTGTTTTATAAAATACCCTAGGAATAACATATGCAGAGAAATACTCCAGAACTCATCCTTTAGATGGCAAGTCCTTTTGTAAACAGAAAAGTAGATTACTTAAAATACAGCAAATCGCAACAGGAAAACGAAAAACATAGATGAGTTATAAAATATTTATTTTTATTTATCAGTTTGTGCTCTCCTATTTAGTAAACATCATAATGTGCTACATGAGATTGATTGATTGAACAAAATTAAATTAAAATTATGCTTGAGGTTTTAAATAATTGTGATGCGTTTTCAAAATAAATCTCTCCTGAATTGTGGAGGAACGTTTAAAAGATTTTCGGTTTTCTTCAGTAGGCATATACTTTAAGCTCAGAATCAAACTTTTTGGATTTTATTATAATTTAATTATTACCATAATACATTATTTACCCATACTATTTAATTCTTTTTGTTTAACAATTACTAATAAGGTTTATTATAATTATTTTTAATATTTTTAAGTATTCAAACAACTATTTAATATATTATTTTAAACTATTTAAACAACTAGGCAGTAGTGTCGTGGGTTCGGATCCTGGTCACTGCCACTAACTTTTATCAGTACAGTTCACCTTTGTACTGTACCGGCTCACCCCTTGCTTTGCTGGATACGTTCCACGCACAGATCTGTAGTCTATGTGGACGGGCAAATGCAAGGTAAAAAGAGGCCACCAACCTCTTTTTAAAGAAATAAAAACTAACAGTCAAAATGTAATAAACAAAAGTTAAAAGTACCAGATTTATATTGATTACAAATATTTCCGATCCAAGCAAAGAAATTAGCCATTATTTTTACCCTGCAAATGCAAAAAGTAAAACAATCTACTTAACTCTCACAAGTGTGATATCGCAGATTGCTACCTTCACAAAGCAAGCAACGTATAGCGCAGCATAATAAATAAAACTAAATACTAATAAATAAAGCAATCATTGCAAAATTGATATAAATTACAACTTAAACTTAATTATGAAGCTCAG